CATAATTTGTATAATATTTTTTTTTGTTTATTTTTTATGGAGAGGATGTTTATATGTTAATGTTAACAAAAAAAATATTTATAATGTAATTTAAATTATTTTAACTCAAATTATATAACTTTAATTATTAAATAGTAATAATTTTTTTTTTATATTAAGACTCTTCACTTTATTTAATAGTTTTACGAAACTGGAAAAAATACAATATATATTTTTGAATTTAATTATATAATAAAATATAATTATCTCTTATTTTATATCCCACATCACTCAAATATTATGTGATTTGAATTTAAAATTTTTTATTTTTATTAAAAAGGTGATGATTACTTAATTATTTAAATTTTTGATAAAAAAATATAACATTATCGCGCGGGGGGCTGTATTACTGAATGGAAGGGTATAGTTGGTTTGGTTGCGTGTCAAAATTCGTGATTCAATTTTTCATGGATGACTCGTGAAGGCAAAAGGTGCAGATCACCCCCTTAACTCACCTATTGGTGGCAAATCACCCCCTCAACCCATTTCACGTACATACTACCCCCTCAACTCACTTTAAGTGGCAAATCACCCCCCTGGCACCATTCTTTTGTTAGCTTTTAATAGTCCATTAACCCACCCCTTTTTTGCGTCTGATGTGGCATTTTTTATGCTGAGATGGACAAGCCACCTGGACAAATCATCTAGATAAAAAATGCTGAAGAGTTAAGAAAGAGAAAATTAGTGGCTAGTTACCAGCACCAAAGACCGAACCCATGGAAGAGATGATGGAGACCTAGCACAGAGCAAGACTCGCCATTTTTGAACTGGTCAACATGCTAAGCGTTCCTATGTCCCTCAACGCCATCGTCCGCCTCAACGTTCCAGACGCAATATGGCAAGGTGGGGCTAATACCGCTCTCACCACCTCCCAGATCCTCGCGAAAGTTCTCCCCTCCGGCGGTGGGGATGCCGAGAACCTCTAGCGCATCCTCTGTATGCTCACTAGCTATGGTGTGTTCGTGGAGGTACTGCATGATACTGACCGTGCAGAGAGAAAATACTCACTAACTGAGATCGGGAAGATGCTCATCATTGACGCGACGGTCTTTCCTGCGGGTCTTACGTGCTCCAGCACCTCCAGGTTTATTTATTGCAGTTTTTCTTCAATCCAATTTTCCCCAAGTTTAATGAAATTTTCGTTTAATTGTACTTGTATCATAAAAATCGACGATTTTTTTACAGGACGAGCTAATGAAAGCATGGCCATTGGTTCATGAGGCGGTGGTGGATCCGACATCAAAACCATTCGTGAAGGTGAACGGTGAGCCGGCGTACACTTACTACGGAAAAAGGCCGGAGATGACTGGGTTGATGCAGAAGGCTATGTCGGGAGTCTCCATGCCTTTCATGAAAGCAATGCTAGAAGCCTACAGTGGGTTTGATGGGATCCAGCGCCTGGTTGACGTCGGCGACAGTACCGGGCATTGCCTGAGGATGATTTGTCCAGGTGGCTTGTCCATCTTAGCATAAAAAATGCCACATCAGACGCAAAAAAGGGGTGGGTTAATGGACTGTTAAAAGCTAACGGAAGAATGGTGCTAGGGGGTGATTTGCCACTGAAAGTGAGTTGAGGGGGTGATTTGCCACCAGTAGGTGAGTTAAGGGGGTGATCTGCACCTTTTGCCACTCGTGAACCTGGAGTAGATCCGTGATTATGAACCGTACACGTGTCCACTTGCTAAAAATGTAGTTGGCTTAAAGGTGACGCGCTGGGCCCTACTACTCTATTTTCATTTTCTGTGTTTTTTGTCGATGGCGATGTCAAGGCTTTTAACAGATCGAAAACACACAGAACAGGAAAGCTTCTTATAAATAATCTCAATCAAGTTTGCCGAAAAGTTCCAGAACAGTGCAGAGAAAAGCGCCAACTCCAGCTCCGGCAGATTTCTTGAGAATTTCAGGTGAGATTTTTTTTTTTTTTTTTTTTGCTCTATTTTAGTTCTGAATTCGAAGATTTGGTTTTTTGATACTTGCTAAATGCGTGTTTACTGATTGATTCAATTACGGTTTCGAAGATTCTTGAATTTTCCGATCTTCATGAGTGTGTTAGTTACGCTGTTTCCATTTTTTATTGCAATCATCTCTATTTGATTTGATGGTTTCGCTATGCTGTTTGGCTCTGTGATGGTTAAATTCATCATATATAGATATTAGATAATTTTTTCGTTTCCTTTGTTACTCTATTTACGAGAAAACAATGGAGTCTTCAATTTAGTTTTTGTTTCCTTGGAAAATTGAACGATTTCAATCTGCGTCAACGCAAGAATTTTCGGTCGAGCTGTTTAAGAATTTTTTCCCCAAAGACGATCAATCTGCACAAGTATTAGTTTTTCTACATACTGTAATTTACGATAGCAGTTGGAATTTTTAATTTTTTTTTTCTCTGTTTGATTGAGGATTTGCATTTTTTACATGCTAATTCATCCTAGGGTTCCTACTAAGTACGGATGTATATTAATTCATCAAAATTTAGCTCTTGTGTGGACTGCTAATTCCTTAGTTACATTCCGTTCTCTCTTCTCTGTCATGGTAGTAATTTTATTTTTATTTTTCATTTGTCAACGGTTTTTTATAAACATTTTATAACATTTTGAAATGTAAAAATGATTTTTAGAATTTAAAAAGAAAAAAGATAGTACAATCGATTTATTTCAACTTTTGGGGCTCACCAACCGCTGAAATCCGTTATGATGCTACGTATTTGCGGCGTGATAATTGTTCAATGTAAATTTTGTGAGATTTTAAGAGTCTTACTATCCAAAGATGCGTGTGCAATACATGATTTCAATATTGAAACCAGCTACTCAAGGGAGACATACAGTGCCAGTGGTTTGAATGAATATATGTCTGATTAGTTTAAGTTGTTGCAGGAGCTCCACACCGCTCTTATTAACTGAGAATGTGAAGATAGAGCTTTATCACTTTTCCGATGGGAGACTTGTCGCATTCTTCTGGTTCCAATAGGAATTCAGAAGTGACCAGTGCCACTGCTGGAAAAAAGTCCTACAAAGGAAAATCAGTTGCTTTAGGCTTTCCAAGGAATACGTGCAAACACATAAGTTCGCTAACCAGCAGTAAAGGAATTAGTGGTGTAGCAGGTCAAGCGACAATATTTTTACTGAAGGTTGCTGCATTAGAAACAGTTAGAAGGGTTTCAAGGGCTAAGTGTCCACACATATGGCATGGTTTTCAGGCCTTGCAGGTCCTATGTTATCCACCTCTTAATTTTATTAAAAAATGGGCTCCCTTTAAGGGCTTGGTCAGAGGCCTGCAGGTTAGTTATCTATATTCTTTTATGTTGAAAATGTTCCCCAACTTGCATAATTTGAGAGTCTAGGGAAGATCTACAGGGAAAAAAAAAAAAAAAAACTGTTTTAGATGCTGATGCGCTTTAATGTTTAAACCATAAGACCAATTTCTTATTCCTTCTTTGCTTATGGTCTTAATTTCTCAGATTAGGGTCACACAAACACTAGACGTGCATGTAGATGAAACATTTCCTATTTTCATGTACATTATCTATAATGAATTCATGTGCTAAACAATTGAAAAAATTGTGTATCATGCTTTCAGATGTTGTCAAGGCCATTATTAGTTCTCTCTGTTGCAACAGTGTTTTCTAATCAAGCAGAGTCCAGTAATGAAGCCTCAGATGGTATCAATGCTTCTCCTGCCTATTCAGAACATCCCGAGCCATCTACCACAGAATCTACCTTGGATACAAGGTACATATAAATAAACAAAAGGTTAAATTGGGAAGGTAGATTAGATTGACTATCCAAGTAAGCTTTGCATCTATAAAGATGTTATTTACCATTTACTGTGCAGTGGTTTCTGGAGTTTTAGGAAGATATTGGATCTATCCAATTGAAATTGGATAATCTTTACATAATTTTAATTGAGTCAATTCTTCTGATTGTGTTATAAATTAAAGTTGATTAGTAAGTGAGGCAATGGAAAAATAGCTTTTCTGGTTGAATATGTGAGTGGCAACTTGCACAAAAACATGTTTTGCTCTTAGTCTTAGAACTTGAGGGGATCTTCTATCATGAATGTTTGCCTGCTGCTTTAACAAATTTGTGTAAACTGTAGGAGTGATGATGAAGCTTCCCAAAATCGAGAATCTGAAGATTGGTTGATACAACTACACAAGGAGCTTGAAAATCAAGGGATTAGTTTGCCAGAAAGGTGATTTGATGATTTATCAAGAGAAACTATGCAGTATATTTTTTATTAAAAAAATGTTCCATTTACTCTTCTCCCTCTTCAAATGATGTTGTTAAAAAGTTTAGGCAATTAGTTGCCTGTAATTCATGCATTTTGAGTTCCATATTACAACCACTGTACTTTCAGAAATCATTAATTCCTGTCATTACATGAATTTAATAATTCATTATTTCATTGCCTCTTTGCTTCCTTTTGCTGAGGCTTTGTATGAATCAATCAACAAGTCTACCATATGATAAATAATTGATGATGAATTAATGCTTTCTTTTTTTTCCTTTTTTTTCTGCTTAAGTGTTAGTTTTCTTTCAAATGCATCTGTTTCAGGTAAAATTTTCTAATACTTTCTTTAGGGCTTCATACTACTAGTTGATTTAGGATTTGAGTTGTGTTCTTTAAGTTTGCATACTCATTTTTGAGTTGTTTGCTGTCCTCCTCTGCAGCAGACCATGACATAATAGTGTTTATGCAGAATGAACAAAGAGGAACTCTGTAGATTTCACACTTCTGCAAATGGTGATTTTTCATATTTTCTATCATCAATTAAGAAGACAATTCGTTGGAGGGAGACATACAGAATTCTTTCTCAGGAAGAGCTTGTGGCATGGTCAAACATGGTATTCTGGCATGGATATGATGTGAAGCAACGACCTTGTCTCATAGTACGACTTGGGCTAGCTTCTTTAAACTTGCCAGCCCAGGAAAGACCTCGCTTTGCTCAAGCAGTTGGTATGTTTTTTGTCCCTGTGATAGAATATTATTAATTTTATGGCACATAGATTAGTATAATTGCTGCTATTTAATTTGAATGATATGGCTTTCCCAACCAGGGAACATGTCCTAACTTCTAAATATTTTCAAATCTGAGTTGCCTCTCTATCTTAATTTGGGTTGGACTTTATAATTGCCTTCTCTTGAGGCAAGGACAACAGTGAAAATCCCTTTAAATCAAATTTTTTTGTGCTAAATAACAAGTGGGATTGTCTATCTAAGGCATACATAAAACATTCTAATCTTGATAGATTTTGCCATACTACTATCATATTTAGCTGACAGGAAATATAATCAACTACAAATTTGGTAATGTTTAGCAATGCCTTTATTAAAAAATCAAGTTTCTGTGATTATGCAACTTGTAACATAAACGTGTGACTGCATCTGCAGTATCTCAGGTAGAGCATGGAATATTGCATTTAGTTGCTGCAGAAAATCCTGAAGTTACGGTTGTAGTAGATTGTAATGGATTATCTCCTTTGAGAATTCCCATGCAAATATTGAGATCTTGTTCTTCCATTTTACAAGAGAACTACCCCAACCGTCTTGGTTCTTTGTTTGTCATACAGCTTCCTCCAGTTGTTCGAGTCCTTACTCAGACTTTTATTCAGGTATGCTCTCTTGTATGATGAGTTCATTGTACCATCTAAAACACAATCTCTGTCTTGTCTTTAAGTGTGGATCTGTTCCTGTTAGGTCCTGAAGCCAATTACGCGGAAGAAGTTCAAAATTGAAGGAGAAATGTACCACAAGGTTCTCTCAGAGTATCTTCTGACGCTTCCATCATATCTTGGTGGTGATTGCACATGCACAAAATGTTCAGCTTCTGGTGGCCTTCATATGGGACACTATCCACTTAGAAATGGCATTAACAGGACAGTGGCAATTGAAGATCTTAGTAACAGTGAGGATATGCCTTCACACGATATGACTAGTCCAGATGATATTAACAGTAATGGAAGCTGTGACCAGGTGCTGAGAACTGCCATAATAGCCATACTCATGGTTTGGGTTCTTCTTGCTCTCGTTGCTGGACTATTTGATCCTGAAAGCCGCCCCTTTTAGCCTCTATAAGGTAAGAGTGAAATAGGGCATTATTGTTACATAGCTTCAGTGTTCTTATCTTCCTTGATCTATATGTTACCTAACTTAGAATATTTTTCCTTTCGGATAAAAGGTGAATTTTATTTATCCAGTAACTGTCTGTACACAAGCAAGCAGCAATTTGTTGCTGCTACAAAGAATGAAATGCAGAACTATACAACACCATACTATATTTGCACAACAGCTTCAATCCCCCAATTGATTGCTATGGACACAGGCAGAGATGAGGATTTCAACTTTAGAATATTATTACAATGTTGGAGCAGTTCTTTAAAGAGCTCCAATGTTTTCTCAGTTATCATGATATATTGGTTACTGTGAATTGAATAATTTTTTCATCCAACTTGACACTGTATTTGTTAATGACCTTTTTGATAAACTTGATACTCAAAATGTTTTTTCATACTGCCATCTACTCTTCTTCTAAAATTGTATATCATTAATTAATTCTCCTCACTGCTAATACTTATCTGTTTTGATGTAGTGCTTTTTTTTTTTTTATCTTTTGCCCCTACTTGCAGAAACATTTGAGGGGTGAATATATGAGAATTACCTGAGATTAAATGCATAGGATTCCTACGTATTAATTGTAATACTAGTTAAATAAAGTATTGGGGTGGGTGGGTGATGAGACTATCAACTATCAAGCTGTTCTC